GTACCTCTAGCTCCATTCTCCTCCAAGCTCACATTTCCAGAAATGAACTATACCTTCCATACCTATAGTTTTTTGGCTATTCTTTGTGGCCCACTTGTGTGTGACTTTTCCACATGTTCTTTTGCAAGGCTGATCAAAACTCAAGTCATTTGGGAGAAATGGCATTTGTCATGAATTAGAGGAAAGAAGCTCATCAATGCAGAAAAGTTATAATTTATCAGGGAACCCTTCCCTGACCCACTCCCACCTTTGTTGGGTCCCTTTTTAAGATATTCTCAAACTCCGTGTATGCTTCCTGTGCAGCATTTGTTACAATTTGCCATGCATTATTTTTTAAATTATTATTTTGAGACAGGGTCTTGCTGTCACCCAGACTGGAGTGCAGTGGCGTGATCATAGCTCACTGAAACCTTCAACTCCCAGGCTCAAGCAATCCTCCTGGCTCAGCCTCCTAAGTAGCTAGAACTACAGATGAACGACACCATGCATGGCTACAGTTTTTTTTGTTTGTTTGTTTTTTGTTTTTTTTCTGGTAGAGACAAGGGTCTTGCTGTATTTCCGAGCTGGTCTCAAGCTCCTGGCCTGGGCATGAGCCACTGCGCCTGGCCTCAAATTATTTTTTGATGACTCTCTTTCATTAGATGTTAATCTCCATGAGTTAAGGACCACGTTTGTCTTCTCTGCTATCTCCAAACACTCAGCACAGTGCTCAGAACAGACAGTTGGTGTTCAATGGCTACCTATTGAATGAATGAGTGAGGAACCTGTCAAAGCCCAGGCTACTCAGATGTCTGTGTTGACATTTCTGTGCAGGGCTAATAAATAGCTCTTATGCACAGTTCACCTTATTTTATTGCCAGTTATAAGCACTCTGTCACCAAACAAAAAATCAGAAACCAGTGAATTTTATGGGGGCTCATTTTCTGAAATGGCTAAAAAGGAGGAAAAATGAACACCTGACATGAAATTAATTTATAAATCAGTTTATTTACAGATTTTATCTTTTCTTAAAGTACATTTCAGTTAACAAATCTATTTACACAGGTATACATGGGAATTAATCCCAGTTATTTTACAGATCATACTTACAAACCACACCCTTAAGTCTTCTGTGCAAATTGCACTGGATGTGACTATTGGCTGGAACGGCCTGAAGACCAGGCTGTTTACACAGACACAGTAGACGGGTTTGATTTTTCACGTCTGCACAGTACAGTACACACGGAGGCTGAGCCCCCCAGAATGCTTTGCAACATGTTTACCCAGAAGGCTTTGCAAAGTCCAGAATGAAAAGCTATTAAACATAGGTTAGTTAAAATGACAGTATCTCCTTTATATCAGTTTACATTTTTTCTTCACATTTTTATAATACAAAGATATTTTATTGAATTGCTGCACAACCAGTTTAAGATGATTTGTAAACATGTAAATTCCTACAATTTTCATTAAACATCATTGTAGTTTATATCATTTGCTCTTTGAATTAATGTTTTATTCACTAGTATTCTTAAGGTAGTAAAAGGAAGATGTAAGTTTGAATTTCTTGCAGAAAAGTTATGAGTCTCTAATGCTGTGCTACAGAAATTCTTTTGCGAGTACACACTTCATTCAAGTATTGCAAAAAGCTAAGGCCACTTTTTTCAAGACAAGAAAGTGAACAAAATTGTTTTTATCAATAGGCCACAACACTCTTATGAGCAATGAAATCTCTTTTGAAAGATAATTTCTCAGAGACCTGTAGTCACAGAAGGAATTTTCTTTTCTTTTAGGTAAAAGAAAAACAAATTACCTTCCTTATCAACTACTTTTAAGCTCTTCCCACTTTTCCCTAGAGTAAAAATTCCTGTTTAGACCTGAAGAGGGAATCTATACCCTGTACTTATTTAACCCAGAGTGAACTACCCTGGATAGCACAATTGTTCTGGACTCAGAAGCAAATCTGAAGCCTGTATGTTGGTTTACTACTAAATTCTGATAGTGCCATTCTAAAAGATATTACTGCTGATGCAAAGATCTTTTTCTTAGAAGAATTATGAAGAAAGAGTGAAACAGGATGGGGGTATGGGGAGAAGGAACAAAGATTAGGAAGAGGGAATATTTAGGTTCTTGGTTAAGAGGCAAGGCTAGATTAAAAAGATACAAATATGGAACGAGTGGCTGAGTTCCCATATTTATCATTCTTAATCCTAACAATAAACCCATTTCAATTATATCCAAATAGTTATTACAAAATGATAAGAAATCTGCTAACTACAGATTCCCTTGTTTCTTGCTACCAAACTGCAATTATTTCTCGCAAAGAGTAAGACTGACCTATTTCTGCCTGTCATCTGGAACCCAGGGTTCTGAAGGTAGTAACGACAGCTGGAGTATGTTAGGGCAGCTACCGCCACATTCTTGGCAGCATTTCTTACCAGGGAACGCTAGACTTACGTCATTTTTTTTTTCCTTTTCTGGAATCATAATGTCATGAAGAGTAAAGATAAACTTCTATTAAAAATTGATTTTAGGTCCAAATAATGAAGATGTAAAAAAAAAACAAAAACCTATATTCCTATAACATTTTGAGATTCATTTATAAAAAAGTTACAGCAGCTGTAGAGTTTTAGTATCGTAAGGACAATATGATCCTACAAACAGCCAAAGGATGTAGACAAGATGTTTTTCTGTCTTCCACATAACACAAACTGAAAAGAAAAGCCTTCGCTTTTCCCTGGCCACATGAAAACAATATTTTCACACTACTGGTTAATAACCCCAAGAAACCTTTGCTTTTCTTAGTCAATTTGCTCATTATGGCTACAAGACTACAGCTCAACATCAAAAGCCCAGAAGAAATGCCGGTAACACATCAGTCTGAGCATTTCCCAAGACTCAGTCACATTTCAGTGCTTTCCTTTTTTGTCAAGAGCTATCATACCAGTCATTGTGCAAAATGCAAATATTCCAATGATTATTTCACTAACTTTCTTATAATGACAAGATGAAACCAAAGAGGAATGGAAGTGTGCATAGTGAGACATTTAAGATGCAAAGGCAAATTTGGAGGAAAGATGCAGAAATGAATAAATGTGCACATTTAAAGGTTATACCATCTTTGGGGTTTTTCTGACATGTTTTGAAGCTATAACATACCAAGATATTTGTAAATATGCATCCAGTGGATATCTTATTCATGCTTCTAAGCAGGACCTTCAATATTAAGGCATTTACATTCACGCCTAAGATTATCCACATTCTTCTGGATTCCTCAAAGAAGGACAGGACTGATTAAGAGAAACCAGTCGCGAAGGCAGGGTCCTGAGGTCCCAGGAGAGCACTTCGTATGCTCTAATGTAGCAGCTGGAGTCCACTGATTTTTTCAGATACAGGTAATAGTTGTGAGAAACAACGCTGCAAGAGAGGCGAATTAAATTTTACGGTGTCTTTAAATAATTTTATCCCGTTTCTGCTACTGCAGGTGATCTTGGAAAAGCCCACCTTCTTTTCGCTGAATTAAACTGACTTCTTCGATATGCGTTTGGGTTTGTTAAAACTGTAGGTTTCCTGTGCAAAGACTATGAACCATAGAAGCATCAAGACGGAGGTTTAACTACTACAAGAAGAATCTTTCATTTCTGAATAGGGACACACATTTTCAACTTAATAATTTATCTTAAAATAAATTAAAAAATGTTCCATAGCACAAAACAAGCACACAAACAATAGACGGTATCTTTTTGTCTTTGGTGCACACACTCATTTCCTAAATCATTCAAGTAACAGCGTCTCTGACTTCCTGGGGAGAGATGGAAGTTGAAGGTTTGAAGGCCAAAATGAGTTATTTCCACTTTTGCCATGCCTGGATGCCTGAGATGGTCCTGAGTATCTGTGATTCTGGGAGCAGCTGGTAGAGGTTCAGAACGAGTAAGAAGTGCAGGGGTAAACCGAGGGGTGGAAGAACCAGCCCTGCATCAGTCCTTTGAGCCCAGTCTTCAGTAGGGGCATTTCTTTGTTTTCATGCCCACATAGAGAAAACTAAACATAATGCGAAAGTTTCAAATTCTTTAGATGGTGCTCAGAAAGCAAAGCTACTGCTTATTCCTGTTAACTTCACAGTCCACTCGGAGCTGCTCAATTGCAATAACAAGAAAAAATGGTCTTCAAAAAGAAACAAAGTCCAGAATGTGAAGGAGGCAGGCATTATTAAACTTGCCTATTTTAGAAGTGGTTAAGGGTTTAATACTGTTTAGAGATTATAATGTCCATTTATGACTTTCATGGTACAGACCCGGATTACATTTTGAAGATGATACGATGCATTATCTATATACCTCTCTTGCCTGACTTCAGACTCAATGATGTGACACCCTAGTCTAAGCTCAGAGGTAAGTCTGGGGTCCGCCCTCACCTGAGACCTAGCAGTGGTGGTAACAAGAGGTGTAGGCATACACTGTGTCTCTGCATCAGGAGAGCAACTCTGCCCACCGAAAATAACCAGTCAATCCTGTGGATATCTCTAAAGGCAAAGGCTGTGATACCAGATACACTGCACTGTCCCATGAGCTCCAAACCAGCAGTCTTTAAGAACAAGTGTGAGGTCTGGAAGCACGCTTGCTATGATGGAGAGGGGTGCGTATTGTGAGGCAGAAAGGCCCAGGACTCATATTAGCACTCAGTGTTGGATTTATTTGCAAGATGTCACACAAGTAGCATTCTCCCCTGTTTTTCACTGATTTGATTCAGAACATCAATAGTATCTTTGATCAAACTCTCAAAGATCCCATCTGCTAGCTGCATCTTCACACACAACTCATCCTCATCATAGTTCACCCACTGTGCCTCCTCTTCATGGAGCTCTTGAACCTAGAATTTAGAAGACAACAAGGTTAGAAAATCCCTGTCACACAAAAGCTAGGAAATTAATTATATTTGCTGACTTTATAGTCCAATCCATGGAAATACAGTCCAAGGAAATAGCTGGAGAAAAAAGGTAATTTATATGATGATATCAATTATCCCTTTAAAAATTGCAACAAGTTTGAAAAAACTCAATTGCCAAATAAAATTAAAATCGCTTCAAAACTACACTGAAATTTGACAATAGTCCAGTATTTCGCAGATATTAAGGATCACGAGTATGTTGTCTATGTCAACAACAGGGAATGTGTATAGGAATTTAAGGGGAAGAGAAGAACACAAAATGTTAGCTACAGATGCTTCCTGTGATGGGATTATATCTGATAAACTCAAAGTAACATTAAAAATGTTTTAAGTCAAAAACACAGTTAACACACCTAATAACTTACCAAATGTCTTAGCTTAGCACAGCCTACTTTACACGTGCTCAGAACACTTACATTAGCCTACAGTTGGGCATAGTCATCTGCAACATAGCACCCTGGAGGATATCAGCTGTTTGCCCTCAACGACTATGTGGCTGGCCGAGAGCTGGGCTCGTTGCTACTGCCCGGCATCGCGAGGGTATTGCAACACTTTATCACCAGCCCAGGAAAACATCAAAATTCAAAATTCTAAGTACAGTTTCTACTGAATTTGTATCATTTTCCCAACATCATAAAGTTGAAAAATAGTTACGTCAAACCATTTTAAGTCAGAGATGTCTGTATATGGATTTACAATTATAAAATGTACTATCCAAAGACAATATTGGATATGATTCTGGAGTATTATAAATAAGTAACATTTAATATTGCTTAGGGTATTTTTGAAATGAAATACTACTTATTTGAAAAAAATCACTGTTATACTTGTTCTTTTTGAATTTTAGGATTTGTGGATTCCTAGGTAAATGAAAACTAAATTAGAAATAACTGTCCCAGATTTAATGCTGGTTTATAATAAATTTTTTTTAAAACTACATTATAGAAGAAACACATTAGATGTATTGTACATAATGACATTGTGAATGGGATGCAGGCCAGGTAGAGAAAGGAGACAGTGAGCCTCGATCTCGTCAGAAATTCAGCAAAGTTAATGGAGTCACAAGGGTCTCTAACCAAAGGCCTAACTTGGCAAAAAAAATGTCAAGTGACAACGAGCTTCTGGCTTGCTCTGATCACAGTTTCATCTTGAAAAAGGCAGAAAAAGTGAAGAGGGAGGAGCTTGTACTCTGGTTCCTGTTATGAGGAAGTGAGAAGACTCTTGCGACAAGGAGACCAAATCATCCTGAAGTTTGAGGGTGAGAGAGGGGAAGAAAAGCATCATCCAACACATACCCTAGGCTGGGGTTGACAAGTATATGACAAGGTGGCTGCCACATTCTTTCTCTGAGAAAGTTTGTTTGAAGGATACCTCAATATTCATTCCTCTGGTCTCTAATGTGCCACCAAAAAGGGTTCTATGGCCAAATAAGTTTAGAGAACTCCCTCTGGGAGATATACAATGTACATTAGCCTATTAGAGAGAAGTCCACCCATAAAGAAACTTGTTTAGGCTGGGTGCAGTGGCTCACACCCTCAATCCTAGCACTTTGGGAGGCTAAGAGGGGAGGATCACTTGAGACCAGGAGTTCCATATCAGCCTGGACAACACAGTGAGACCCTGTATCTACAAAAAATTTTTTTAAATTAGCCAGGCATGATGGCACATGCCTGTAGTCCCAGCTACTCAGGAGGCTGAGATAGGAGGATTGCTTGAGTCCAGGAGTTCGAGGTTATAGTGAGCTATGGTCACACTACTGCACTCCGGCCTGGGAGACAGAGGTCTCTATAATAAACAAACAAAACAAAATTTGTTTAACTCAGAGTTTCCTATATTTATTTGACCATACAACCATGTTGTGAGAGTATATACTTATGAACCTACCAAAGAATTGGTGTTCCTCTCTTATGAAGGATGCTATAAGAAACAGCCTAATGTAACACGTCTCAAACTGGTGCTGAGGGATAACTATATTCCAGGTGTGTCTGCACAAAAGATTTTACATCCCCAGTGAATTTGTTCAAAGCTGCACAGCTGGCTGGGAGTGGTGGCTCACGCCTGCAATCCTAACATCCTAGGAGGCCAAGGCGGGTGGATCGCCTGAGGTCAGGAGTTCGAGACCAGCCTCAACAAGAGTGAGACCCCCGTTCCTACTAAAAATAGAAAAATTAGCTGGGGAACTAAAAATATAAAAAATTAGCAGGGCATGGTGCCACAAGCCTGTAGTCCCAGCTACTCGGGAGGCTGAGGCAGGAGGATCACTAGAGCCCAGGAGTTTGAAGTTGCCGTGAGCTAGGCTGACACCTCGGCACTCTAGTCTGGGCAACAGAGAGGGACTCTGTCTCAAAAAAAAAAAAAGAAAAAGAAAAAGAAAAGTTGCACAGCTTTCCATTTTATAGGCAAGTTCTCTTAGCCTTTAATATTAAATCTGTTCTTTGAGCAATTTCCTCCCGAGTAACAACATTTAGGAAACACTGTCCTAAGGAAATCTTTTTCATGCTTGCAGTAGAAATATATGGTCACAACGTTACTCATTCTCTCTCTCAGTGTAACCTCAATGCAGCCCCCACTGAAATATAAGATTTCGGTATTGGCAAAAGCCTTGCTCCTCCTTTAAAACAGGAACGATTTCTCTCTCAGTCAGTGAGAACTAACATGATGTTTTGCATTTTGCTTTGGCCATCAGAAAGCTCCAAGCATAACTTGGAGCTTCAACTAGACCAACTGAGGAATCTCATAGCCTATAAATCTGCCTGTTTTTTTCTTCTGCTCTTTAGAGTCTACCACACATTTCCCCTGCTCCTGAAGACGTACGTATGTTTCTATATAAATGAATAAATATGATATAGAACTATTAAATTACATTTAAAGGTGAGACTAACAATAACTTCCTTTTCTCTCTTTCTTTCTTTTTTTTTTTGACAGGGTATTAGGCTGGTGGACTAGAGACATGTGATAGATAGAATGTGGCCTGATTTCAGCAAGCAGATGCTGGGGTCTTGCACCACATCCTTGTGACCAAGATGGAGAAATACAGACAGGTCAGTGGGGTGGATTCGTACTTTTTTTTTTTTTTTGAGACAGAGTCTTGCTCTGTCACCCCAGCTAGAGTGCTGTGGCGTCAGCCTAGATCACTGCAACCTCAAACTCCTGGGCTCAAGCGATCCTCCTGCCTCAGCCTCCTGAGCAGCTGGGACTACAGGCATGAGCTACCATGCCTGGCTAATTTTTTCTATATATGTTTTTAGTTGTTTGGCTAATTTCTTTCCATTTATAGTAGAGACGGGGTCTCGCTCTTGCTCAGGCTGGTCTCGAACTCCTGAGCTCAAGCAATCCTCCCGCCTCAGCCTCCCAGAGTGCTAGGATTGCAGGCGTGAGCCACTGCGCCCGGCCGACACTGGTCTCTTTTCAATTCACTACTTTAAACTTTGCTTTCACTCAAGTTTTTATTTCTCAAGTTCTCCACAAAATACTGTTCATGAAGTTAAATGTTCATCTTAAGTACAAAAGAAAACAGTTTTCTCAGAAAAAAACTGAGAAGTAGAAATGCAGCAAATGAAGACTTTATGATTTTAATATAATAGACTTAAGATTAATTATATCCCTTTTCCTTTTATAATTTAACTATATTCTGCCCATAGAAGATATGGTCAAAATAAAAATCCTTTGGTTGTTTACACTGACCAGGATATGATCCACTCGGTCTCTTTTCTTTCTTCCAAATTTCATCATTTTCTGCCAATCTGTTTTGTGGTTTGCCTCCTTTTTAAGACTGAACAACTTGAGTACTTCAGTTGTGATGAAGTTCTGTGGAAATAAGACGAATAAATGAAACAAACAACAAAGCTCCTGAGATTTATGTGTTTATAATGCAGTAAACAGATTCATGCTAAGAATATAATAAAAGATCACACAAATTTCTTCCACTTACAGTTCCACTCAGCAATTTGAAGGGAAAAGCATTCCCAAATGCTCAACTTTATTTACTTAAAGAATTTTTGTTTTTATACAATATATAAAAGTAAAACCCATTGATGAATCTGTAAAGAAAAATCACTTTAGAGTTCCCTTTACCCAAGAACCACCATTAGCTAACTTTAAGCTAGAAAAACTAGTAAAGAAAACATATAATAAATCTCAGAATCTGAAAAATCCCAAGAAATTTTTGGGAACAATGCCATGTGAGAAAAGTATAAGGCTTTGTCAAGTTTAGTTTGAATATGTTAAATTAAAAAAAATATTAACCTGCACTTTGGTGTGAGAAGCATGATAATTTTACTGCTAGCAAGATTTGCACTATCACCCCTAGAAAAACTTTTACAAAATGCTATTTCAATGTTGAAATTCGTGGGCAGCATGTAGTGTATGCTATATTGATTCATGCAGTTTGATGGCTGCTGGTATATACTATGTATCTTGTCTAATTTCAACTAATTTGTTCTTTTGTATTAACAAATAACTTGTTTTATTACTTTTTATGGTTGTTTTATTAAAAAAACAGTGTTCTTAATGGTGGAAGGGACACATTTATGAATCAGAATCATCTGAGAAGTTTCTCAAAGTACCAACGTACTCTCGGATTTCACTACTCCCCGCCCACACACAGACACACACAGACCCACTCAAGGATTTATCAACTATGGAAGGTGGAAGGAATGGAATACACAAGTGTGTTCTGAAAAAGCTACTTATTTTAATCTAAGGCAGGGGATGGCAACCTTTTTCTGTAAAGAGTCAAACTGCAAATATTTTAGAGGCTTTGTGGCCCCCTGGTCTTTGTCAACACCTAACTGCACTACTGCAGCAGGAAGCAGCCACAGATGATATGTAAACAATGCGTGTGGCTGTGGTCCAACAAAATTTTATTTATAAAAACAGGCAGTGGGCTGGATTTGGCCCGTGGGCCACAGTCTGCTGATCCCTGAGGTGAGCATACATTACATCTCATACCTATCTGTTGGTGTTCTGTCAGTATAAAATATTTTTAAAGGCTTTCTGTGATCAAATAAGTTTGGAAAACACAATTTTAAAGCCTTGCTACTCAGAGCAGTCTGGGACTAGCAGCATTAGCATCACCTGACAGCTTGTTAGAAACGCAGAATGTCAGCTCCAACTCCAGACCTACTAAATAAGAACCTCCATGTGAACAAGATCCCTAGATGATTCACATCCATATTAAAGTTTGAGAATCACTGATTTAGAAATACAACGTTTGCTGAATTAAAGAAACCTGTGACTAGGCAGAACAGATTGCCACCAATGTGGCTTTAAAGTTTCAGTCCTTAAGGCTTCTGGACAAAGTTTTATTAGATAACAAAATAAATATTTTAGGGGGGAGGAGCCAAGATGGCGGATGAGACAAGCCGCCAGTCAGAAGGTCTCTGCAAAAAAGACGAATTTTAGAAGAAAGAGAAAAAAAATAAGCGAGCAGAGAAACATAGATAGGGTGAGGGTCAGAAGGAAGGGTGTCTGAAACTACAGGAGACTCCACGGTAAGACGTTGTGGAGGAGAAGTGGAAGGAGAGAGGTCCCGAGAGGCATGGAGACCAGCGACAAGGGTAGATGGAGCGGTTAACTTCCCCCTCCTTTGCATCTCGGACTGCGGGTGGCTCCTGAGCGGCTGGAGAGACCTGCCAACACCAGCCCAGAGACGGCTGCCGCCAGTGAGCAGTGGCCTCTTGCGGACTCAGCGCCGGGCTCCCAGCCCCTTCGGGGAACCTCCCCCGGCGCAGACCCGAGCCTAGCGGCAGACGCCATAGTGCTCCATTCTCTCCTTCCCCCTCCCTACCCGTGCGTGCCCAGAAAGACAATTTAGCCGTCACACGGAGGCATCTCCAAGAAACCAAGGAACGGGACCTTTCCTTCTGGGGCCCTACAGCAGACTGAGGGGTACTCAGACTGCGAGCTCCCTGCCCGCCAGCCCTCCCAGGTGCTACTTGCCTGGGGACTCCAGGAGGGTGGGGAAAATCCTGAGGTGGAGTGAAATCAATCCAGCTTGGGCGCCCTGCAGGTGATTCAAGACCAGCACCTCTCCCCCTGGCAGGGTCAGGAATTGATCTCCAGAGTCCAGGGGTCAGGCCTGCAGACCAGACTCTGTGCACCCGGGTCATGATCGCTCTGCCCTGGGGCACGGAGGAGGGATCTGTGAAGGAGCCTACTGAGGAGTGTGTGCCTTCAGGGGCGGATCGGCGTGCCTGACCGGCGGCCCTCCTCCTAGAGGAGGGCTGGCTACGATCCTGGGTGCGGAACCTCCCAGCCTGCGTCACAGCCAGGGGGGATCCATCGGCCTGAGGCCCCGCTTGCTGGCGGAGGCCTGGGGGAGGACACGGAGAGGGGGAGATTGGAGGGGAGCGAGACCTGCTCCAGAGTGCGGGTCTTGGATGGCCCCAGCTCCCAAGCCCAGACTTTCAGCTGAGTGGAGCCATTTCAGCCCCTCCCAGCAGCTCTGCACAGAAACAAAGAGCAGAACTTTGACCCCTTCTAACAGCAGCTGTGGAGCCTGAGGGCAGGCTTATCCAACCCAGTCCCACCCCGACTCACTCCGGCTCTGCCCCCACTGAGGGGGAGAATAAGGACAGCTCAGGCTAGGATCCTGAGTAGGGAACTTCCCGCCCACGGCCCACCAGTGGAGAGCCATAGGCCTGAGGTCCTGCTTGCTGGCAGAGGCCTGGGAGAGGCCACAGAGAGGGGGAGAGTGGAGGGGAGCGAGACCTGCTCCAGAGTGCGGGTCTTGGGCAGCCCCAGCACCCAAGCCCAGACTTTCAGCTGAGTGGAGCCATTTCAGCCCCTCCTGGAAGCTCTGCACAGAAACAAAGAGCAGAAGTTGACCCCTGCTAACAGCCGCAGTGGAGCCTGAGGGCAGGCTTGCCCA